GGGGGGGGGGGGGGGGGGGAGGGGGGTTGTGAACCTTCACGAGAACAGCCTCAACGACTGACCATACAGGCGACATGCACCCGTTTGCTTCGGTGGTGTGCCTGTCTGACAATTACAATGAAACTAATTCTTCTCATTTCCTCAATTTCTACTGTATACACTTGCGAAGCCAGAGTTTCAAATATTATGATCAGTTCTACACGTACCCCTTGGAAAGGCATCCAACTACCAAAGAAAAATTCCTGATGAAATGCATCAACTTGAAGTCCTCAGTTACATTTCAAAAGGAAAAAATCATCCATATGCAAAGAATTCCTGTAGCCTTGATCAACAACCCTTTTGTCACGACAGAAAACTACAGACTTCCACAATCATTCAGCTCATTGTGATCAATTACCAAACAAATCATCACTGTCATTATTCATATTGGTCCTGTTATCTACTTCATGGTTCCCACTTGAAGCTTTACCAATCAAATCTTTGGGAGGGGAAGACGGGTTATTAGCAGTACTAGGAGAATATGCCCACGACATACCCACATTTCCTGAAAATGATTCTCCATAAAGGTCGTCATATATTTCACTTTTCGATGGATTTTTTACCCTATTCAAGATTTCTTGTAATTTACCAGTCACGCCTTTTGAAGAAATGTTATCTCCCCTCAAAGAAGACTGCTCCTTGCCTTTAGGTATTATGGTAGTCTGCACAAGAGATTCATATTTCCCAACTAGACTTCCTTCTTTAACTCCCATAGGACCAGGCTCTGTCCCTACATCTGCACCATCTGAAAAACCCACAACTTCAACCAGCTCCCCTCCAAGTTGATCTCTGAAAGCCACTCTCATCTTCCTAAGCTTTTTGGTAGGTCTCCCACGCTGTTTTTCTTCTTTTACACTTGCTGGGCTACTATGTTCAGATGATGAATGTAACCCAGATTTGGTAAGACCTAAGCGATTTAGTAATGTATTATAAGAAACAACAGCCTCCTCATCGGACAGATCAGGAGGTGGTGGTAAATCATCCTCAGTGGGCATTGGTGGTTGAGAAAAAAGTGCAGATCATTCTTTCTCAAGATATAAGTCCTCGTTGATGCAGCAAATTGCAAAGACTGTCCAGTTTCAAGCTCGACTGGGAACTCTTTAGTTAATCGCTCGTTAGCCACAAATGTTCCATGAGCAGATCCCAAATCGATTACATATATGCTGCAAATTCAACTAGTGTTAATGATGCCATATGGCCATAAAAAAGTATCTTCTTCATGTTAAAACATTAATAAAAATACTACTAATTTTGCACTTTAAAATACCCTTCATCTTTCAAAAGTTTCAATGATACCCTTAAAACTTAATAAAACTCAAAAATACTCTTAAACTTTAGAAAAAGTTCAAAAATACTCTTACGGTAGATAACAAGACCCTGATTCTAAATAATATCACACCATCCAACTAAATGCAAGTGGGCAACAAAATATATAGTAGGGTCAATTGTCTCGTGAGAATAATCGAGGTGTGCTTAGCATGAACACTCACGCACATTTTTAAAAAATTAAAAAAAAAAAAAAAAAAAACATCATCCAATGGTTGCACACCATTGTCCCTCACCAAATTCTCCATCCCTCCAATGGGTACAAATTGTTTTAACCTATTGAGCACACTCTAGACCCCCAGATCCCCCATGATGCAGTAGGACAAAGTACCTCAAACTCACTGACTGATATGGTCTAAAACCATCAACCCATCACAATCACATTATCCATAGAAAATAAAATGACTGTCCATTGCAGTTTATGGGTAATGCCAATTATAGATGGAGCATTGTTAAACAAATTGCAGTAACATTAGTTCATTTATGGATTGAATCACGCCTACTACCGAACCTACATCTTATACTTTCAGTTAGGACCGTATTTTTGTTGCAAGCATCAACTAACCTGGGGAGGGGGCAAGGAACAAAAGGAAACCCCACTAAAAAAGGCGCTAATCGAGTAAAACAAAACATAAGGAATAATTACAAAATAACAGTGTTACCAATACTCACTAGAGAAACATAAAACCTAGCACTCTCAACTCCTCTTAAGTTCCAAGTTTATTTCTCTCCTCCCATAAACCCCACAACACCCAAGCTTTCCCTTCGTTCAAAACAGCGGATGGAGAACGAACTCCTCAACCATTTCCCTACGATCTATGTGTCTAGACAGCTAAAGCCAAACACACCTCAAAAAAGAGGATCCAAATAAGTGAACAAAATTGCAACTTCAAAGAATATGATCAAACTCTTCCTCCTCCCTCCAACAAACAATACAACAAAACGAATCAACCAAATAAGACATCTTCTTTAAAAGCCAATATGAAGTGCTATCTCTTCTTGGATGACTTGTCAAACGAAGAATTGAACTTTCTTTAAAACTTTCACCTTCGACAGAGAAGAAAAAACTGACTCACTAATCAAGATGGGATCCAATAAACACTGAAACAACGATTTACAAGAGAAATCCTCTTAGAGGCTTACTCCAAAGATGAATGTCCCTTTCTCCCTGGTCTAAGGACAAACTTCTCAATCAAAGATAGGAGAGCCAAGACATCTTTCGTTTCCCTATGAGGTAACGGACGAAGAAAGCCAAAAGAGGAGGGAAAGCTCCTAGAAGGATCCAAAACATCAACCACATAATGGTTTTTCATGCAAGACAGATGGTATAAATGAGGAAATGTAGAGCAAAGGGGTCTATCCCTCACCACTCTCCTCTTAAAAGTACATTTCCTTCCCATCCCGCATAAAGTACTAGACAATAAAAGAAAAGGAAATGAGCTCAATGGAAATGTCTTTGCACAGATCGTGCTCATGTGGTGGAACTCATCTTCTTGCTCACTATTTTGATTCCACAAACAAGGAAGCATCCCTCCATCTTCTCCCTAATTGTCAAAATATAAACACCTTGGCGAGGCCCACCACCAATCTTGCAACAATGCCCATTCATTCCTCTATTTTTCCTAATAAGCTTGCTTCCTTCTTCAACAGCAACTTCTCTCTCATATGAGTCTTTAATATTCCAGTTGAAGTTTATTCCCAATCTCCTATCTCCCTTGGCTGTCCAATGTCCATTAAGTCCTTTCATGATAGTTTTTCAACCTTTCAGCCATCATGCAACTATCTTCCGGTATGGTTCTTGAGACCATCATCCAACTGCATGAGTTCGTAATCTTTGATATGATTATTTCTTCTTACCATTTATTCAATAAGATTAGGAGTAATCTCCTTATTAGGCTACACCCACACACCGAAAAATAAAAACACTCCATTTATAATCACCTTCACTCCAATAAACTCACTAATTATATCTACCCTAAAACAGATTATCTGTGTCAGTGATGAGAACGTGAACATCCAACTGTATCAAGAAATGTACTAATGATTAAAATTATAGAGAAAAATACATCATCCGTGAATAACCTATGATCAATAATACAATTCAAGGGACTAATTATAGGTTCAAAAATTTTATGAAATAAATTGAAAAAGAAAATAATGATAGCATAATTGAGAAAACTAACATCTAACCTTCCATTCTAATGAGGAATAACAGCAGCATGTTGACGGGAAACTGATGGGTGATCAAGCACAAAATCACAAGTATGGAATTGTCTCCCAAAAATGTGCCTCCGTTTGTCCAAATTAATTCGATCTATAGCCTCACCATCCTTTAAAACTTCAAGTTAATAAACTCCCGCGCATGGTTCAGTTGCCCAATCAGGGGGCTGCCAAGTGGACTGACTTCCACCAACCTGAGTTAACTGTTGAGCCTGCCCCACCAATGGTCCTGCCTCAAGTTCATTACGTTTTTGTGGATCATGGGATTGATGCTGGTTAATGGCCTGAAAGTGAGAAGATCTCGATTGTGCATATGGAACAAGTGGCTGAATGCCTTCTTTGCCAGAAGATAGAGCAGACTTATGTGAAGTAGAATCGAAAGTTACAGAGAATGGTTCCAATGTCTGAGCCTTTTTAAATCTATCAAGGCTACTTCTTCCATACATTCTCTAACCTCTATCACTTTCTGATCAAAGAAATGCTCTTAGGCTGAGGATTATTATAAATGAAGCAGGGTGACATCAGTATCGAAGTTCAATGGTCCACAGACTTAACAGCATATATCTTCACTGAAAAAAGAAAGCATGAATCATTAACTCTGATCTTGAATTATAATCATTTACTAACTTTATTCAACGCCTGACCATTTTTCTGATATCATGGAACTGAAAAAAAACATAATAATCTTTGCACCACAAAAGTCACAAAGCTAAAAATGGTCACAGATCTCACAGAGAATAGAAAACCGACAAGTAAATTAAGCAGTGAAGCTCCTCGAATTGAATCCGACTTCATTGATAGTTGCAGGGCGTAAATTGAAGAGAGAAAAGACGGAGAAAATTACCAGTGATAAGGTATTCGTGGTGCGAATGGTGAAGTATGAAGGGGAAATTTGAGCAAAGTAAGACCTGCGAAGTTCCTGATATCCCCAGGCGTCCGAATAGCAGACGGTTGCCTGCCGTTCTTCCTTAAATCCCCCTATCTTTCGGCTTATGCTTATTAGTGCCAAACCCAAATAATAGCTTTCTATTTTTTTCTTTTGTAAAACATATTTATAGAGTGAATATTTAAATTAAGTCTATAAAAATTGTACTTTTAATCAAAAAGTTGATTTTAAAATAAAAGTTGTCTATGATCGGTCTTAGTGTTGTTTCCTTCCCAACGAGTTCCCTTATCGTTAAGTCATTTTTTGCTCACCAACATCAATTTCATTTAGATCTTCAAGCATATCAACACTTGAGCATACACGACGTATAGGTTCTGTAGTGTATAAGTTAGCCTTACCATCCTCACTCTCGAGCATACACGACGTATTCCATGTATCCATGTTAAGAAAATATATCACTGACCCTATGTATGTGATAGACTATAAACCTCTTGAGATTGAAGAAGACTTAAGCTATGAGGAAAAACCACTTAAAATCCTAGCCTGGGAGGTGAAAACATTACATAATAGGAATATCGGCTTTATCAAGGTACTGTGGTGGAACCACCAAACCGAGGAAG